ATTTTTGGTGTCTGCATCCTATCACCAACTTCCTAACACTGGCCCATCTACTCAATCACGCATAATCCGTATACAGGAATGGTTACCAACACCTATATCCAAACCTGTTTATTCTGAATAAATACCCCCGTCTGGATTTGATTCCATACAGTCTACTGTATATCAAATTTGGACTAATGAACAGTTGTTGGACACTCTGATTTACTTTCTAATTTCATTCTTCACGTCACAAAAGTGAAAGTGACTTAAGTTAATGATTGAATAAAGGGAAAAGACGCACACTCTACCAAACGTCTTACTGATAAATTTAAGTAGTACAATAGTTGCTTCAAATCGATCGATAAGACAAATGAATCTTTGGCTTACTATTATGGAATTTAATTCACTATATCCATAAAATGGGGTGTGCGATAGACTTACCTCCACGTGGTGCACCCTGGGCAACGTATACTCATACGGCAAAAAAGTCTATTAACAGGCAGTTGACTTCTGACTTCAAACTACCACGACCCCCCTGGCTGTCATATTCGACTACTTTCACAGTACTCACCTTACCTTTTTCTCTACCTTTGTGTCTGTCTGCCTCTTTTACATCTGTGAATCGCTCTTCTGTTCCCCACCCCTCGACTTTCTGCTACTTTGATGAACTTTCCCTCTGTGAAGCCCGAAGTCAGCTAAATGGCTAATGATATCTATCAAAACGCCTGCCATTTGAAATAAATAAATAAATATCCATAAAATGCCTTAAGTTATTTCACTGAAAAACTTTGCCGAGTTCCAACTGCTTTTAAAAATTTCAGTTGATCATAAGTTCTTCACGTACTTTGAAGGCCTTAACTTCTCCCTATAAATAAAAGAATGAGTTTTCNCTTTATATATATATATATATATATATATATATATTTAAAGCTAAATATATATCTATTTTAATTTTCGATTCGTTGTTACTCAGAATAAGAAATTCTATTATTTTCTGGTGAAATATTTTACCTATTTTAAATTACTTAGAATGGAGATTAATCACATTACTGGCACTGGTATGTAGCGGTTCGCTACACTATTAAGCATTGACTATGCTCAGAAATTTCTATGACATAATCTCTTGTTTTTAAAAGTCTTCCAGAACTAGCTAAGCAACCCCAAGGCCATAGAGGGAACAGATGCATCACTTGGAACATGTTTATTTGGGATGTGGGTATGAGTAGGCGTGCACAGTCAAGGAGCTTAGTCATTATACTAATATGGCGGGTTTAAAACACCAAGTGAGCACTATTGAAGTTTCACGGAACCACCTTCAAGCCTGTCTGAGTACACACGAGGTAGCGTTGTTCAGCAGGGACAACGTGGAGTGCTCCACAAATAGGTCCTGTTTTAGGGTGAAAACAAAGTCAGTAATTTCTTCCTTGAAATAATTACCTTTTCCTTTCTCATCCTCACTATCTGTACAATCTACAAACCCACGTGCGTTTAATCAAGCCTCATACTACGAGAGAAGCAGGTTAAGCTTAAAAAGTCAACATATTGCGTTGCCTATCTCTGAAGTTGCATCTCGCCACAGCAACATTTATCTTCAAATGGCAACTTTGCAGTAGAGCAGTAGAGTTGAAACTAAAATCATGTTCCTGAATTTGCCTTTTAAAAATTTAGATTGCGCATAACAATATTCAGGCAATGGGGGAGATTTGCTTAAAATGGTAAAAAAGAGGAAACGTTTATTGAAAACTCACTTTAAATATTGGTAAATAAGTGGAGGAGTTGATTAAAATAGGCTTTAAAAGCTCTTATCTATTTAATCGTAGCGAATAGAGATTATGGCTCCCATTGAAAATGAAAGTAGAATTTGCAACGAACTGCTGCACGAATACGCGTTGACTCTACAATCAAATATTAAATGACAGCTGGAATTAGCTAATTAGCCTGAACGATATTCAAAGAGGAAGCAGACATAGGGCGTGGAATGCGTTTATTTATGTTGTGTTTCTTCGGTATGGAGCTTAGTCGTTAAATACGGATTTGGGCACATTGGCCTTTGATTATTGATTGATAGGGAGGTCTCAGCACTCGTTTCACAATTTACTTCCTAACGTAAGAGTACTGAAGTCAACTGCCAAGTTACAGACTTTTCCCAGCATGAGTATACGTTGTTCAAAGTGCAACACGTGGAGGTAAGTTCGGCGCACACCTCTCCAAAGCAATAATTCTTTCGGACTCGCAGTCAGCAGTAAATTCAATTGGAAGCAGAGAACCACCCTAAACAGCCGAGATACATGAACGTAAAAAACTGTATCAGTTACTGTGAGAATAAAAAACAAAACAGTAGTTCATCAATGGATCCCCAGACATTGTGACATCATAGGCAATGAGCTTGCTGACTTACTTGATGAGAAGGACACCAAAGTGTTGCAAGGCATAGACTGGCCGATGTCTTTCCACACAATGAAGACCTTAATCAGGAGAGAATTCAAGACTTCAAGAAGCAACGAACTTAAACTCGAACATAGCCGAATGGCTAAGGAACAAAGCTGTTGCAGATTTTAGACTGCGTAATGGACACGATTGCCTGTCAAAGTACCTACACATAACAGGAGTATTGCTCAACCATCATGTCCCCTATGTGACTTGCAAGAGGATATTGAGAGGACCCACCTGATTCGGTGCCCAGACCTAAAGACAACGAAAGAAACCCAGAGATACTGGGAAGCGAGAAGTCAACTACTGTTCACTATCCTAAAGCCTATATATATATGCTCTACTCCCCCCCTGGTAAAATCTGAAATAAATAAATAAATAAACATCATAAGGCCTGCAATTCGATATACTAATAACTTCCTAATGTGATCAACATCTCTCCGCATGTTCCAGAATGTTCGAACGTGTATGAGATTGCTTAGTTTAACCGTGTTAGGGTTGTGTACTCCACAAACTTACATTTTCATCTTTTGTTTGAAGTCGGAAGGGCAATAATTAACATACTTTAATGTTACTTGATTGGCTTCATTCTACTTTAAAAACTCATCTTAAGGTTTGTGTTCATTTTTTAACAGCCCAACATATTTACCTACTAAAATAGAATCTCAGTTACTACAATGACGGTACAGCATATCTGTACTTTATGTTTTGGTAGGAAATAACTTTGGGAAGAGAAGGGTAGATTTAAATTGTGCTACTGTCATAAAATAAGCGCCGTGAGACAAATCAATGAAAGTGTGAACTGACACCAAGAGCAGTAGATACCTTTGGGATTTCTTAGTGCAAAAAATCGAGTACTTTAAAGGACGACATTATTTGAAAGGGTCCACACCTTGTAAGTCCTTCGAGACGTTTACAAGTTTTGTCGTGGCCTGTTGGGGGGAGGGGGGAGGGGGGAAGGGGGTTGGTGGGATTTGTTGTTGAATACTTTTATTTGAAAAGAGCATGACGCGGTAAGATTTCTTGCACTATAAATGGCTAGCAATGGAAAATCGACTCCACCATGGGGGAGTTTTAGAATAATGATAGCTTGATCGGGGAAATGAACAGTGAGGACATCGTGAGATTAATTCATCCCTACGTAATCTACCTGCTCAGTGTTAAGAATAAATTAAAATTACCCAAACAGGTGGGGCAATGTATTCTTTATGATTTGGAAGTGGATTCCTTGATTATCAATAATAATTCTACTCTCCTTCCTTATTGAAACTAGTTTAGTAAAATAGTTATTTATTGTCTTAAAATCCGAATTTTATTTGGTGACATATAGAATTTATGGCGGGGGCGGAAGAGCTTAAGTTAAAATTGGTTATCATTTCTTCTTAAAGCTTTGATGTGAGGCATTTTCGTTGATAATTTTACCGGAACTATTTGTGTCTTTAACTCTTATTTATTTTAAAACTATTATAACGGTCACCTTGACGTCTCATTCTTCTTTCCACTATACCTTACCTAATTAAGGTACATTTCAAATATTTCCTCTAATACCTTAAAATGCTGCAGGATGCTTGTTTGATAAACCTTGTCAAAAGGTTATTTTGAATTCCAATTTTTGATGATGAAGAAACTGAAAGGTCAATTATTGGTACTGCCTCACATATTAACAGTCCACAAAGTAATTAACCTCCCCTGGAGCTTGTGAAGGTCTGTTGAGATAAGCTGAAATATTTAGTTAATCCAGCATACCTGAATATGCTTAAAATTCGAGCACTCGTTAAGTGCACTAGCATTTAAATCAATTATTATATTTAAACCGATAAGTACATCCAATCAACTCGCCTTCTCTATTTTAATTACGTGCATTTATTAAAAAAGGTAATTCCCTATTTTTTTAAAAAAAACTTGCTATAAAAAGAAAATATGCAAACTTGACTTCTGAGTGGGGGGGGGGATTATTCCATCCTAATTGGTCACCTTTTAATTGAAATGTACCGTTCTGATTACTTCTGGCTAAGTAACTTTCTCTACTCATTTCTGTCTCCACAAATTGAAGGCCAATTCAATTAAAAAACTTGTTTGCCTATTATAAAACTCCACTAAGTCACTAAAAATGAGTGAGTTTGTAAACATAAAAAGCATTATCAATATAACCCTTTCACACTCCTTTAAATTTTAATCACTTAAAGTAAATTGTCATAAAATTCATTCGCCTACAATAATCATGGCAAATATCGATTTTTTGGATGATTCATCAAGTAAGGGACATATATCAGGACCACCGGCAGATTGTTAAATTCAGAAATGAAACATCTATTTTCATTGCAATAAATCAAGGTGAATCATAGGCACATTGTTTTCAATAATAGCACTTCCGAGGGACAATTTGGCAAAATTATAAGTGCACAAATATAGCATAGGTTTAGTCACCTCATAATATTGCAATTTTGAACTTCTAGAAGGGCATTACTTTTCGCTAATTGGTACGCGATTAAGGGTAAACTACTATCGATGCAAAAAGAACCATGTGACAAGATTACACACCGTTTATTTAAAAGAATCAAAGTTAAAGTAACACTCTAAGAAACAGTAGTTTACCTACTGCGTGAATTAACAGATGTGTCATCGGGTATTCTCTTGATAACAACAGCAGGTTTCGCACGACCTGAGGCATAGGAAGCTGGGTTCGTTACGGAGAAGTGAGTTTCCGAGTTCTTCGGAGTGTTCATAAGAGAAGTGAATGCGAGAAACGCGGGAAGAATGCAGAAAATGGTGTTCGCTAGAGATATACCCGCAAGAGTGATGTACTCTTTTCCAGTAAATACCAACATAACACTCGAACTGACAACACAGAGAAGGAATTGGACGACATCTACAGTTAGCATTAACCAATTCATGAAGTAAGCAGCACGTTTTGAAACCAAGGAACGGACAATCATAATAAGGTGGAGAACAATTGCTACAATTCCTACGGCAATGCCGAAGTAACCAAATAAAAAATTGGGCTTTGGTGGGTCATTAGGAACGCCTTGATAAATGAGGTAACCACCGATTGTTAGTGGCAAGAGGCTGTGGAGAAAGATCAGAATAGTATCAGCATTCCGATGAACGTGGCGGCGAAGTTTAGGGAACTTCTTGGGTTTTTTACCATTCGCTTTGTATTTGGGTGTCACATCCTTCGTATTCTTCTTACCAAGACCCATTTTGAGTGCGTAGAAGAGTGAGAAGAGAGAGATCACAACTGCTGATCGTGATGTGCAATTATCACCGGTAATTGTGGGGTTGACCTTAACCTAAGAATCTGACTGGGTGTACTAAAATTGCTGCTATGGATTAAGCGCTTTGCGGAGAAATTGTAACTGTTATCACCACTGCTGTAACAACGATAAATATGAATTTTGACTTTGATGGAACAGTGAAACAAATTAAATTATTTTTCAATTAATTTAATAAAATTACAATGTCTTAAACGTAATATACGAAAAGTAAATTAGCGATTTTCCTTATTACATCCTCACTAACTAATTAAAGACAGAGATGCTTTCCTTCCTGAATGACTTCACCACCGATTGACTGGAGAAAAAATGTTTGGCATCTTTCATTATGATATTTTCTTAAGTCTTAAATGACAAATAAGCCGAAATGTGCTTGTACTAAATTCCGACTAAAAGTGCAGTTCCTTAAAGCTGCAAAGAATTGAATAAATGCTTTTGCAATATTAAGAGTGTTGGTTAAAAAATCTAAATTAGTGAGCTGGAATCATTATGAGGTAAATCATGTCAGATACCAATAATTTACGCATTCTCAACTTAACTCCAGAAAACTGTGGGACACGTTATCGCTCTGTGCGCCATCGTATGCCTGCATGCCAGGATTGGGAGGTGCGGCCGTACAACTCTGTGTGCAGCGACCGTACAAACAGTGACCAATCATTAACCCCTGTTAAACCTAATCCCCCATCCTGATCATGAGTAGCTCCCTGCGTGTACACTTTATCCGCAATATACTTACTGAATAAACGTGCTCCGTGCTACACGTCTGTTTCCTTTATAGCTTTGCAATAGCTTAGCTGGTTCTGGGAGTCTAGCTAGATGTTGGAGGATCTGCCATAGAGATTACTGAGTCAATCAGGCTTTACTAAGGTAGCAATCCGCTACAAAACTTTCGCCCAATGGCCCTCAAAGCTAAGCTTAGACTGCAAATNCTATAGCTAAACTGGTTCCGGGAGTCTAGCTAGATGTTGGAGAATCTGCCACAGAGATTTCTGAGTTAGTCAGGCTTTACTAGAGTAGCAAAGAGATACTGAGTCAATCAGGCTTTACTAAGGTAGCAATCCGCTACAAAACTTTCGCCCAATGGCCCTCAAAGCTAAGCTTAGACTGCAAATCGTGCTTTGTAGAATTTTCGAAATCAATTCATTTAACTTTCCCCTTAGTAATTCCTATAGTACTATGATCATGTCATTGATACATTGATTATCCCAATTATCTAATTATCAGATTATCAAAAATATAACTTTGAGTTCAATGGAGAATGAGTAGAGTCTCTATCAGAGAATCTTGCGAACCAATTTGAGTCATAAATTAGTAATATATTGGAAGGCATTTGCAACGCAGATAAACTCCTTCGCTGTTATCGATTGTATCAATTTGTACCTTTATTCTATTAACATTTATATAATTAATTAAAGAAGTATTTCCAGACGCATACCCCATACAAAATGTATGCCAAGAGAAGAAAACGCTTGCATTTCTACCAATTCTGCCAACACTCTGTGACCTGTGGTTGGCATGTATTTGGTGTGAAATTATGGCATTTTTGGATGACCTCTCTGATCACACTGCCGTGTTGCAGCAAAATTCTATGCATAGCTAACGGGGTAGTTTTCACGTGGCCTGCGGCTTTACTTTTAATTTTTTTAATAGAATTAAATTAAACTCCAAATCGATTATTTTGTTAAACATGCCTAAAATAATTCAATTAAACTTTAAATACGTGTTCATTAAATCCTTCCATAGAATTGAAAAAAGATCTCGTTGACCATAACGTTAACAGATCTCTTATTGTTTAAAAATCGATCGATTCCCTGCGCTTTTCATAGGTAAAGGGACATTTTTGCTGTTCATATCGCGGCCCGGTTGTTGTAGAGAGAAAAATAAAGAGAAGAAATATTTAAAATATTGTGTAGAACACAGCGCCAACTTGATGAACCAAATGATCTCACGTGAGGTCGAACATTCTAGAACGGATGGTGTGCTACGGATCCCGTAGCAATCGGGAGCGAAGTGATAGCGATTGAGTTACGGAGCAGTGCAGTGGTGAGTGTAGAGACTTCTCAACCAATCAATAGTCACGCATGTTCAGTGTAGCCACAATCGTATTTTAATGACTAAGCTCCGTTCCGATGACAACTACGTTAAACACAATTCTGGGTGTGCAGTAGACTTACCTCCACGAGGTGCACCATAGGCAACGTATACTCATACGGCAAAGAAGTCTATTAACCAGCAATTGATTTTTGACTTCACACTACCATGACCAGACTGCACGCAATATTTCATCACTTCGCTGTACTCACTTTACCTTACCTGGTTCTCAACCTTTTGTCTGTCTCTTGTTGTGCCTTTGATGCTCCTCCCTCTGTGAAGTTCGAAGTAAGCTAATGGGCTAATGATAATTTTCAAAACGCCTGTAATTTGAAATAAATAAATAAATAAACGCTATTCACACCACATATTAATGGATTTTGCGTAGCCGAGGCTTATCAACCACATTTATTAAAAACTGTTCCTTATTTTTAACATGGTGTTCTGAAAAATTGAACAGCATAATATTCGTGTATTATTTGTAGTTTGTGCTTAAGGGTTTCGCGTTGACTTCTCTTCCTTCCAAAGTTTAAGGCCTTCACTAGCCATACAGTTGGTGACAACGCGAATGGATGATAGGAATTCATCTGAGTCATTAAAAGACCTAACTTGTATCGTGGAATTCGCGGCGACCACCAAAAGAATTTTAATGGCAAGCAGAAGATTTATTTAATTAAGTTAATTTATTTACTTTGATTGACCTCACCAAACAGTGTTCCTCAATAGTGTGCATGTGAGAGAGTCAGAACAATCTATCATTGGGAATCGAGCATTGTCATCGCAGTCAATTGAATGCTGTAGGTTCTACCACAAGCCTTTCATCCATTGTAGACCTTCGCTGCTATAAGCTTAAACATGTGTCTCAAAGGTTAACTTCTCACAAAAATGACTAAAGAGAAATTTTGACTAAATTTTTAACAGGCCGGTGAATGAAATAACTGAAATAAGTGATAGCTTGGTCTGTATACATACCTAAGCACATTCTTCGGATTGTGTGACTTATTTTTCCTATTGCCATGATATGAATGAGAGATATATGTCATCTTTCGTGGGTAATTTAGTCAAATTTATCACACCGCAAACGATTAAAGATGCGCTTAGGTTGAATTCAGATGGACGCGCGGTATTTTAAAACACTAGATTTTAGGCCCTAGATAACGAACGAGGGTGGCTAGTAATAGACCATATGTGTGGAGACAGCAGGATTCTTTCCCCTACCATTCCCATTTTAACAACTGTACCAATCCTAGTGCATGTCGACACCCCGAGCTCCTTTCTCCCCCCCCCCCCCCCCCCCCCCCCCCCCCCAACCTCCCCCTCCCCCAATCTTAACCCAAAGGCCGATTAAATACATGTGGGCACTGCAAAGAAAACGACTAGGCGCTTGTCAGTACTACAAAAGCTGAATAGAATAAAAACGTTTTCTTGAGTCCCTTCTCGTGATAAACATAAAACAGATTGTTTCGGCTCTGGAGTTGAGGTTGTAGTCGGCACTGGTTTGAGAATGTAAGAAACTTCAATGACAGTCATTCATAGTAAAACTATTAGATTCTAGTCTAATTTTGGTTGTCTTTTTAAATTCTTTCAAGTCTGTTGTGTTTTGGTAGCTAACAATCACTTATATTTTTGGATGGAACAGTCAAATATATTGCGAGTAACCAAATAATTTCTTTCCAGTTTCGTAAGAACCCAGTTAATGCCACTAAATCACCCCAAATGTTAAAACTAAATACTATGTCTTTCGAAGTTTAAAGTAATCCAGGATAGGGTTCTTGGGAGAAGATGATGGCCATGTTTATAAAAGATCTTACTAATAACGTAAGATAAATATCAATAATAAAAATGCATGCTACTTAATAAAATCAGTAGCAAAATAGAAAAGTGTCCAATATTGTATAAAATATAAGTCCAAGATGCAGAAAATGAGGTGTATGCTGCAAATATTTGGAACCCAAAGACGAAATTTAGTATTTTAAGGTTGAAATCAAGTTGATAATTTTTCCCCATCAATTGTAATATTTTCTCATTTTGCTCTTGTAGTTTTGATATACTTTTAAAAATAAAATTTCTACTTTTGAAAAAAATTACTCTATTACATGGTTTTCGATTTCAGCCATAGTTCGCAAACGCATTTCTCTTAGAGCGTGGTTTATGCACCTTAGAAAATGGTAATGGAATGAGGCAATTTCACAATTCATTTCCTGAATTTTTGGAAGATCATTCATGCTTTGTTGGCACCGACCACTGTTACATTGAAATAATATCACATTTTTGTTAAGAAACTTGGATAACTAAGCCTTATTTTCTGGTTGAATCTTCCAAATTTTTGAAAGTAATAAAATTTGAGGTGTAACTGTTCCGTTCGGTTTTAGCAGTTCTCAACGGATAATCCCATGTACATTCGACAACATGCGTGGAAGAATTTTCCGAAGGATTAACTTTGGCTTTGGTTAGGTGATGATATGGAATTACTATTTGATTTCGAGGCAAGCATTGTTATGCCTCAATGACTTTGTCCTAACCTGTCCACTTCCTCTGTCCAATAACAGTTCGGTTTTAGAGAACGAATACTTAGTTGCGAAGACAATAAAGAAATTCATATGTTTCTCCCTACACATTTTATTATACCCCGGAGAGGGTGGTGGGGGAGGGGGTGGATGTATTGGCGCCCAAATTCCCATCCTATTCTATTTTCCCATGCACTTCAAGCGTAACTGCATAGTTGGCCATGAACAGATGAGTGTTACGAGCATTATTCCATGGTTAACCGATAATGTGGCACGACCAAGGATCTTAATACGTCATCATCAAAATTTGTAGGTGGTCCCGATTTCAATGAAGCATTTAAATTCATATTGATTGAGCTGAACCTTTCTGTAATTGACTTTCATGTTCTTAATTCTCAATGCAAGAAAAGGCGGATGTGTTTTCAACACCGTGTCTGAACTTGAAATGGTACTCAAATATCTGTTTGCGAGATACTCGATTTCTAATTGGTACCTGTAATTGATTATTTACATTTTTGAGTAATAAAATTTCATCATTGACAGTGGGAATACTTAAGTCACAACATACTTCTGGCGCGCTACCACTTTGTGCAGCTTTGGCTTCTTTTTATATAAGGAGGTAGGTGAAAAATTCACGTTCAAGGTCAATATCACATAGTGCTATTCGATTTTTAATTAAGAGGAATAAATGGAAGTTTCTCTTGTGCAAATTCCACCTCACCCAACTTGAATTTCAAAGTTATATATTAGAAAAAAATTGCTTAACAAACACTTGATGTTTTTTGCTAGGGAATCTTTAATTTTTCCCCTAAGTTAAAAATGGTAAGGCAGTTTTCAAGATTATTAAGTGATGTGTAAGCTGTAAACAATAATTATTCTGGATATTTGTGACATCTGCCCTCCTGAAATCTAATCACCCCCCTAATTTAACATTGCTTTCACCGAAAGGGCTCAAGTGTCTTCAATGTATGCTTCAATGCTCCGATAGAATGCAATAGACAAATTCTTTGTAAGGGGAACCTTCAAACTACTCACAACTGCAAAATACGAACTTATATCGATGATGGTTTTATTGGCCAAAAAAAGAGCTCGATATCGGTAGAGGTTTCGGTTTGTTCAAATAAATGAAGTTCAATTTTGTGAAAGTATTTCAAATGATCACCCTGAATTACCTCAAAAGATTGCTCCTGAATGCTTGCCACATCCATTCCTGTCAAATGGCAGGCGTTTTAATAGTTATCGTTAGCCCTTTAGTTGGCTTCGGGTTTCACAGAGAGGAGGAGGAACATCAAAGTTGCAAAAAGTCAGGAGGAGGGAACAGAAGGGCGATTCAAAGATGTAAAAGCGACAAACAGACACAAAGGCAGAGAAAAAAGAGAGGTGAGTACTGTGGAAGTGGTAGAATATGACATAGTGTGGGGTGATGGTAGCTTGAAGTCAGAAGTCAACTGCCGGTTAATTGACTTTTTTGCCATATGAGTATACGTTGTCCAGGGTGCACCGCGTGAAGGTAAGTCTATCGCACACCCGTAAATGTTTGCCTAATATATTCGGTATTAAGCAAAATATATATCACTTTCCCGCCTGTCAACAAGCTTTGTTTTTCACAGATGGCGGTGACCCAGAATAGATTGCAAGCTTAATTGTTGAGTTAACTTAAACAAAGGCCGCTTCTTATTGAAAGTGACCGGTCTCAGTGACTAGTCATTAGCCCAGACCCGAATAGTCAACTCTTATTGACAGAAAATGAAGCCGCACCACCAATACGATAGCCCGGGTGCGAGCACAGAAATTCATTGAGCAGTGATCTAGCTCATTTTGGATGAAACCCGCCGGCTTCATTCGGGTGTACCAGATTTGCGGCTCGACCCGCAACCATCCTTCTTGGGAGTATGCTTTTTTTCTGACTGCTAATGTCGGATTATCATTATAAATAAGCCAACAAACCTCACCGTGAACATCGTAGAAATTGAAAGCGATTAACTATTTGTACAAACCCCACACACCTCCCCTTCCCCCCCCCAACCCCCGGCCCCTTCGTGGCCAATAAAATAAGAGCTCGTTCATAAATATAAAAGAACTAACTGCATTTGAATTATGAACAACAAGAGATAGACGCAAACATTACTTCAAAAGGACAACGTTTGCAAGATATATATATAGAATACAGCGTCTAAATTAGCATCCATAACCAGCCAAAATGAATAAAGAAGGTGACAAAATTAATATTTACAGAAGAACAAACGAATTTGTTAAAGTAGGAGAAAGCTATAAGAGACAGGAAATCGCTAAGAAAGCAAGCCAAAATAAGGGAGAGAGAGGAAATGCTGACAAAGAAGACGCACGAAATGAGTGAACACAACACCAAAATTTGTTATATAAAAAGAGGGAATAGTAGAGCAATCGAACGGTCAGGCTTAAGATTTCGGTGCTTCAAGAGCCGGAAGATTGCATAGAGGGAGGAGGTTGAAAAGCTGCCTAAAAGTTTCAAGAGATACAAAGGACACGACCTCGATGTCACCGTCATCTTCAGGTCGTTGGCAAAAACGCTTTTTGGGAGGCGGTGAAGCTGCTCTCTCATCTTCTGCCACTTTGAAAGGACTCTGGAGTTCTGAACATCTCTCCGTTTGATCTCGTTGTGATTCTGCGATTGTAGAGCAGTTGGATGAGCAGTTTGAAGAAAGAGATGCACATGGAGAGGAGGAAAAATTATCCAGACCGTCTAGGCTTGCATTTCCAGAGTCACGACGCTGTCGACGGTTCATTCCACGACGTTCACGCTGGGGTGTGGAACGGGAGCTAGTGCTAGTTGTGCTGGTACTACTAGAACAGGAGGTTGTTTGACCTCGACGTAGCATGGAGTGGGGAGGAAGGGCCCGATTTCCACGACCCATTAGATAGTCAACAATTCGTACGTCACGAAGTCGACAACGACCACCTTGTTGAACGTGATCCAAAATGTCAAAAGCTCGTTCAACTCCCGTGAGAAAGGCACCATGGGTGCATTGTTGACCTCCTTGACTATCAATTGTGGCCTCACCAGCGAAAAGAACCCGTGGTCGACCCTAGGAAAAAACAGACGACACGACACTCACCATGATGTGAGGTATTAAAGGATCAGGTATTCACTTGGGAATTTCAAAATGACTCCGGAACAATCATCGCTTACCTGAGTTGCATTCTCGACACCTAAGTTCAATTGTGCTTTGTTAGAAAGAGAACTGAGTTTAAATCGTCCATCGATTACTGGCCTTTATTCTTTAGGCTAGAGAGAAGTGACTCGAATATCTTCAAATGTGCATAACTTAGAGCCAAACTAACGTGTCTGAGGGAATCATTTTTGACTTTCTTTCATCTCTGAGTTTGTCCGTTTACGACATAGAACGATCTAATCAATCTTAATGTCTCAATTGCTATCGTTTTTTTTAAAATTGTTTACCGCGTTGAAAACCGTGTTAGTGCCGAAGCTCCAACTGCAGTTTTTTTTTCAACCAAATACTCTACACTACAGCCATGATGACGAAAGCAGCACAAAATCTCAAGCTGTAAAGTTGTGCACCTTAAGTTGTGTGCCTCCCTGTAAAAAGGGCTTTATAATAAAGCGAGCGCCAGTGACTGTGGCCTAGCACTCATGAAAAACGACAACCGGTTCAATTATCTGCCGAATTGCGCTCTAGGAAATTCGGACTTTTAAAACCGAAATCTCCATTCTCCCAATAGATCTAAACACATGCAGTGTGTGCCTAACGTTTACCTGGTGAATGCGAAAAAAGCCATTTAATACTTAATTTGATTTATGAAGTCATTTCTGGGGTGTGCGATAGACTTACCTCCACGTGGTGCAC